GCGGGATGACATGACGCAACGCTGCCGGCAGTGAATCGATTGAACACCGAAAAGCGGGAAGCGAGTTCTAAACTCAGTCGCGAAGTCGACTGCCGATCGATGAGAATTCGCGCTTGGCAGCTCTAAAGAATCGAACGTGAGACCTTTCTTTCTGCTCGTTAGCATCGTGTGCGCAGTATCTCGTGTTCTCACACTGATAACACATTTGCGACATACATTCGCAGCAAACAGCGAAAATGGCTCTCTTCCGGAAGTTTAATGGTAAGTACTGACTGATGATTATTAATTGCGTAATGAGCTGTGATTTGATCTAATGTCTTACATTTTTCAATAACAAACGATAGGCATTGCTTCTTATTTATTGTCTTACATTTTTATTGCTTTACTATGATATTTCTAGTATTTCTGGTATTTATCGATTTTTATTTTTATTTTTTTATATCATTTATATAAATTAGGTTAGATATGTACTAATTTATTATTTTCAATTAAATATAAAGTTTCTTGGAAATTAAGACCCTATTATTCCAATATTTATAACTGATATATTGGTTTCGTAAATACCATATGTTATACTATAAATGCAAATGTAATGTATCTTTTATTAATAAAGTTGTAATACTATTTTTATATAGAGATTATGTCAGTCTATATCAAGGAATATGTATTTAGTATCTGTAATATTATTTAAATTATACCAATTTCAAGTTTTCCATATTAAATGTTGCGATAGGTCAGTATTCAAATAACTTCGCCAATATATGTATATTGGCTAGTATTTCTTATACGTCAGCAAACAAATTCCGAAGTTGCACATATATGCTTTTATATAGTTAAATATAGAATAATGATTCAAATAATTGACTTGGTTATGGAAAATTACAATTGCACATTGATAAAACGGAACTACAACTCGTCTCGTGTATCAATATTTCTTTTAATATGAGAGGTACGTGTTTTTATTTATATCAATATATTTTAGCAAAAATCGTATAAAAAAAAAGAATGTAGGTATGTTTCTCTCGAAAAAGGCTCTGTGAATTTTTATAAATATCACACAATTACACAGATTTACATTACTTTGTTAGTTACGAAAACTTTCTATGTGATGAAAATAATTTGAAATGATAAGCATTACATAATCACTTGCGTGCGTGCACATTTATACAAAGATTTCAGGGAGTAGTCAATGCACAACATCAGGCGATACACATGACTTTGCGACACGTCGTTCGATCCAATGGAAATTCAAATTAGCAAACATTGCGCATCGTATTATGCGAACGCGTACCCGTCACGTGTAACGTATTAGTATTTTTCCGACAGTGTTTTATCCAAGCGTTTCTATCCACGTCTTCAATTTCGTACTAGCTGTAATTCGAGCTGCTATTTCGCGCCGTTCATTTTGTAAAAATAGACTTATGGAATAGGCAAGTTGCTCGTCCACGGTCATCCAATGCTGGTACATTGTCTGTTTAAAAAAAAATATATATATAATACGAATCAATATTTAGTACATACGATTTATCGAAGTTGATCGATGTGCAGGCTATACAAAGTATAGCAGAAACACCAATCAAAATTTTTAATGAGTTTTTTTTGAGAAGTAGATATGCAACGGGTTTGGAAAGTCAATTTGGTTATTTAGGAATAATTTTATAAAAAATCATTATAATTTGTTATTAGTGCTTGAATTCTTTGACAATTAAATTTGTGAATTTTTTATTTTTATTTTATTTTCAATAGTAAATTATTTATAAGAAAATACGGAATTATTCGGATTAATGGACACTGCACCAACCTTGACGTATCTTATCAAGATCACGATCCTGAGTGACCTTCGAAAGATTTTAGGTGTCGGTCGCTGTTCGCTTAAAAGTAATTAATAAAGTTTAAAAAACAATATCTTATTTTTATCATATACAATATTAAAAACTACCCTATACCCTTCCTGCCTAAGGGCGCTCGACTTTCCACGCGAAGGGGGAGGTGGAGTGAACCTCCCTTGGCATGGGAAGTTATATGCCTGTCATTATGTAGCAGAAATATGAAAGACATCATTTTTTAAATTATATTTGTTAATAACTTTTGAACGAATATTGACTTCCACCTAAAACCTTTTGAAGATCATGACCTTGATAACATGTGTCAAGGTCAAAGTCATTAGCGCGGTGTCCGTTAATCCGAATAATTACCGAAAATACTGTTCTTTGTTTTCTTCATTTCCTAGCATTATATATTTCGACAATGTAATTTTTAATTAAAATTGTTTAAAAATATGATTTACCTGGAGTTGTAAGAAAATTTAGCTTCCTATACATAAAACATTTTAAATTTTGTTTAATAGATTTCTTTTTAATATAATAGTTAGGACAATAGATATTGGACACATTATATATTCACAGCTATGCGAACCGCATGTTAATAAGATAAATGACTTGCGTTTAATGCGTAGGAAATTACCTAGAATGCTAATGTGATTTAGCTATCTGAACTATTATATTTTGTATCTCATGTATATTTTTTCTATGAAATCTCTGTGTGATTACTGAGCAAAAGAGAGAGAAAGAGAGAGAGAGAGATGTGTATGTACGTGTTAGTATTAATGTATTAGTGTTAATTACCACGGTAGTGGCGCTTGGCTTAGCGCCGAGACATTACCGTGTCTCTTGATATTATTGCGATTCGTATAGTATATGATCTATCAGTACGCAGTTGTACAAAAAAGTATTGTATTATAGCGGGAAGCGGTGATTCAAAATATTGTTTGTTTTATCGTTTTGTATAATGACGTTGCATATTTATATAATGATGTTGCACACTTACTCTTTTTATAAATGCAACTCGATATAATTTAAATCGTAGCTTGCGATTATATTTGCATATGTCATTACATCATTGTGTAAATATACAATATCGCGTTTTTGTCGATTATTATTAAACGCGCGTCGTTCTCTGAACTTTGAACATACGCATAGTTGTTCAAACGAATATACAGAATGTAATAAATGTTACAGAAGTAACTAAAACGACATGAAAACAATAATATATAAAAATAAGATACTGCATATAAGAATTATTCATAGATTACGTAATTCATTAAAAAATCAATTCTAAATAAAATTAAGTTTCTATATATTTATAGCATAATAATTGTTTCCATTAAATCAAGAATTAGAAGATAGTACTTATAATTTTATTTATCATTGAAATAAGATATAAATATAATGTTAAGTGTTTCATCTTTCAATAACAGTTATTGATTTAAAACCAAAAGTCGCAAAATATTTATTTCATTGATCAGGTGGTCCAAAATTCATTCAATTTCCATGAAAATCGATATTTGTGGGTTTTTCGAATAATTTTAAATTTTAGAAATCTGACTGCGGATTATTCATGAGTGACCCGAAAAACTTTCAGATATCGATTTTTAGGATTGAATAAATTTTGAACTACTTGATTAATGATTTAAGAATTCTAGTCAGTTCTTCATTCAATACAGTCGCCATACTGGATCCGTCATTTCGAATTTTGGAAATAAGACTATGGATATTGTTCATAAATGATTTGAAAAATTCAAATATCGATTTTCATGAAAATCAAATGAATTTTGGACCACCTGATCAATGAAATAAACGCGTTTTCTATAATTTTCATAAGTTTTTTATTCATTCTAACCGCCATATTGGAGCAGCCGCTTTGAATTTAAAAAAACGCCAAGTTTTTCCTTAAACCACATATAAAAACGAAAATTTTAAGCCCTCGAACGTGTTATTTCGACTTCATAAATTTTGCCCAGACACTTGTCCCCGTGACGTGGAACGTTCCATATATATATGTATACATGTATACATGTGTGTGCGTGCGTGCGTGCGTGTGTGTGCGTGTATGTGTGTGCGATATGGAAAAGATGAAAAAAATATCCATATAATACTAGGCAATGAGCTATGATGAACATAACAGCTATTTTCGATTTGATTTCCACCTATTCGTATTCTACAATTATCAGCAATTCCATAAAACTATGTGCAATCGTTAATACAAGAGAGAAGTAAAATTGCTCGACCAGGCACAGTTGCGCCGTAACCTTTTGAAGTAATACGTCAATGCTTTACCTTGAATGAGATTCTCTTGAAATATGGTCATGGTTGTTACGAGTATTAACGAGTTGCATCTTAATTAGTTTTGTAGTTTAAAACATTATTAACTATGTGTTTTAGTGAGATAGTATATATGTTAAATTACAAAATTGTAATAATAAATGAAAGGATAATGTGATAATAATAAAATTATTATCATATAATATTAACTTATTAAAACTAAAATAATTTAATGAAAAATGATAGAAATTATCTTTATATGTATAAGTTTTATCTTTAAAAATATTTTTTTATTTTATTTTCCATTGGAGTTTTTGTTTTTTAATAGTATGTATCGCAAAACGATTACGCAAATTGCATCTGCACTTTCGTTGGATATCATGTACTTAACGAGATGACGACTTATTGTCGAAGATCATCGTTCATTTTTTATTTAAGATTATTAGATATTATGTGCCGATTCAAAGATCATTCTCGATTTCGCGTTATAGCGGAGCGAACAGAAATGCTTCGCGTTATACAAGGTTTGCGTTGCATGCTCCAACATGTTCCAATATACTCCTACCATAGCTCTTACTCACTCCAACGCGCTTTATAGAGTGAGTAGGAGCTATGGTAAGAGCATGTTGGAGCTTGCGACGCGAACAAACTTACAATGATCATTCTTACATTATTCCGATATGAAATATACACAAGTAGTTTAACAACAAATTAAGATATTGCAAAAAGTTTATTAATTGCAATAGTAATAATAATTAAAATAATTTACAACTTATAAATGTCGTATTTCGTTAGCTTGGGGATCCTAAAAACGATTAGTTATAGTGTAAATAGCCTTTATACACAGATAATTTATGTATCATTGACACATCACTACATCAATATCCCGCTCACATATGCCACACATACACATAAATTTTCGTATAACAATTACGTTTTAATTATATGTTTAATTCCAATTTTTAGAACTCCACGCGATGTAAGCAAATATGATATTAAAATTGATATACTACTTTAATAATAATTATAAGTTCGTAAAAAAATTGTTTTTTAAATATATTGAATTGTCTATTAAATTACTATTATGAATTGTTAATACATTATTATTATGTCGTTGAGAAATATATTATATTTAGTAAATTGATATAATTATTATCTTAACTGACTCTCTATAATAATAGGTGTTCACGTGTGTTACAGAAAAGATCCCTCGGAGAGGAATTCTCGGGGCAATGATGTTCTTGGCTTGTATGTTCTCCTATGTCATTCGTACTAATTTATCCATATCTATTGTCGCCATGGTAAACACTACACGCAAAGATGGTGGCGTTGGACCAGCTTGCAGTGTAGCAAATATAAAAAGCAATAATAGTGTCGCGCTTAAAGATGTAAGTCTGCATGTAAAATTTGCACGAGAATATATTGTCAATCCACTAATTATTGATAAGAATATTGCGAATATACACACCAAAGTACAACAGAATTCCAATCAACAACTAAATTGGAGGGTTCACTTTTTTCAAAGTCCACCCTTCATTTGTTATAAAAAAGTATACGTTCTGTAATATTATAAATGTATCGGTTCTTACATTTTAGTTTGGAGAACGTTTCGAATGGAATCAACATATCCAAGGACTATTGCTATCTGGATATTTTTATGGTGTCCTACCGGCTAGTGTACCAGCTGGGCTTTTAGCTGAAAAATACGGAGGTTCTAAAGTAGTAGCGTAAGTATTATAATCGAAATAAATTAATTATTGTTAATCAACTGTCTATAATTATTGTACTCATTCTTTACCTTTGTGACAATAGATTCGCCACATTGATACCCGCAGTATTAAATCTTCTGATGCCTTGGGCTGCTAGTGTTCATTATGGTTTTGTCTTTGCACTTCGTTTTGTAATGGGATTTTTCGGAGTAAGTTACTTAAACATTTTATATATCTTTTCTAAGTATATTATTATATTTAATATCATTATATAAATCATATAAATTTTGAAGTGAGATACGTAAATTTTCAGTAAGACTATAGTTAATATTAATTTATAGGGCGCTGTTTATCCTGCTCTCCACGCGATGATTGCCAGATGGGTACCTCCTGGTGAGAAAGGCATGTTTGTGTGGACTATGCAAGGTATTATTCTTTTCTTCATTTCTTTATCTTTTTTGTAGGTTATGTCAAGACCTTTGAAATGGTGTATAGTATTGCCAGATACGACCTCTGTAGCGCTTTGTACATAGCCGCGAAATTCAAAAGACAAAAAAGCGGAAGGGAGATATTTGACAACCTAATATATATTTACACTGTTTTCTTTTTTTAAGGTGGTCCATTCGGAACCGTGGTAACATTCGCTTTATGTGGTGCGGTGATCAGTGCTTATGGATGGAAAGCTGCATTTTATGTTACAAGCGGGCTTATGTTAGTTTTTTATGTTTTGTGGGTATTTCTAATCTACGATACACCGGATTTGCATCCTGGTATCACAGAAAAGGAAAAAACGTATATAAGGGAACAAATAGGCACTACCGTCTCGAAACAAAAAGTATGACATGTATAATAATTATTTCTTTTATATTTTATTTTTTTATCACTTAATACATTATTTGACGAAGAATGTACACGCACGCACGCACACACTCTTCGTCAAATTGGATATTAAATGATAAAAAATAAAAAATAAAATAAATAATTATAAAATAAACTAATGTTTGTAACTCTTGTACAGGTCCAATTACCGGTGAAAGCAGTCGCTACATCTCCACCGTTCCTAGTATTACTGTGGGCCCATTTTGCAAACATGTGGGGTATTTATTTCATCGCTACAAATGGACCCAAATACACATTGGAAGTCCTTGGTTTCAATATGAAATCGGTATTTTTTATGATTTTGTTTCACACATAAAGATTGTTTCAATTGTAAAACGATTTTACTTTATCATTACTAAAGACATTTCTAATATTATTATGTGTAGGGTGGCGCAATAACTGGATTACCTTACATAGCTAGATTAGGTGCTGGAGTATTATTTGCAGCAGCGGGCGATTATGTGCGAAGGAAGAAGTTCTTATCTTTAGGCTGGATAAGGAAAATATTTATGCTATTCTGTAAGTAATTTGAAACAGTTATGTTTGTCGTAATTTTTCGAAATTGAGTTGTTTCGAAATTAAAATGTATATGTACGTAGACAATTGTTATTTAACTGATAATTCATAAATATGACTGTTCACAGCTCACATGGGACCTGCAGTGTGTCTAGTAGTAATGACATACGTAGGTTGTGATGCTACAACTGCGATAATAATGTTAATACTGGCGTTAGCCTTCAATGGGGCCGCTTGTCAGACCAGCTTACAGAATCATCAAGACTTGGCACCAAATTATGCTGGTTCTTTATATGGAATTATGAATACATTTGGTAGTTTTCCCGGATTCATCATTCCACCCATTATTGGCGCTTTAACTAATGAAAGAGTATGTTATCTTTCTACATCAAAATTATGTTAAAAATACAAATAAGTTTTTTAGTTTGTGAAAATGTGATTTATTAAAAAATATACCATAAGCGTGTATAAAATAATTTTATATATTTTTTTACATTTTTATGTATTTGTGCGTTTTTGTTATTATATGTTATTATATAATTGTAGATACTTTATTTCATATTATTTTTTATTTTATTTATATTTATTAATATATTATATTTTGTACAGAAATTATGCGTTTCGCTGGTTATCTCCGTGTCCAAATTCATTCTTAAAATGCCAACGTTTCGTAAACATTGCAGCAGTTCACTTCATTGGGGTGAGGAGCAGCCTGGTACAGAGCTGTTCCTTCGAGTGATTCTCTTTGTATACGCTGTTTTTTACGAAAAGTCTAAAAATAAATTTCGACACGAAAATAACTCGCGAAACACATAATTTCTGTATAGAAAGTGCCCGTGGAAGCTTCAAGAGTAATATTATATTTTGTATTGTAGAACGGCGTGGAAGAATGGCGTATAATGTTTTGGATATCGGCGATAGTATTTATATCGGCAACAATTCTCTTTTGGCTATTTGGATCTGCGGAAATTCAGTCGTGGAATGATTCGACTCATACTAAAGTGCCTACTGTTTCCGAAGAGGAAAAGCAGATAAACGAAACAATGAAAGATGGGGTCGATACGGAAGCTGAGGAAAATGAACGTCTCTAATGAATTAGGAAATAAAATAAAATGAAAAAGTCCATACAGCACAAAAAAGTTGTAGAAGTATTTTATTGCAAGATTGCAACATTGCAAAAACTTTGCGAAATGTTGCTGCAATAATGATGCAACAATGTAAAAGTCTGTTTTTAAAAATATTGCAATACAATGTTGCAACAATACAATATGTTACATTATAATATGTGTTGGTGGTTTGATAATATTTTAAATGGATTATATTAAAATATCTTAACACATAACTTTCAAAAATATAAATTTTTTAATTAATTTTTATACAGAAGAACCAAAAATTGTGAAAATACACCTTATTTACTTTCGTCTTCAAATTTAATTTTAAGAACTTATCTTTTTAAAGAATTGTTAAAATAAGTAAAAAAATCTCTTAATTCTTCGCCTTTTATTCTATCTTATATAAGTTTTTATTTACGAGAGAATAGAATTCCGTCATATCCATTTTGTAGCAGTGGCGCATACTGATTGCGGCCGAGGCATAGAAAAAATATTATTTTTCACAATATTTTTAAAAGGTTACTGCAACATATTGCTGAAGTAATATTGTAAAAAAATTTTCATGATTGCATTTTAATATGCAATGTTGCAAAGATATTACTGCAAACTTCTGTGTTGTATGAGAATATATTTATGTCTGTACAAAAAGTAGTAGTACAGTATGTCAACAAGAGAATAAAATTTTGCAGCATAAAATTGCTGCAAAATTTTATCTTTTTGTTAAAATGTCATACTTTATACACAATTACAGACCAACGTTTGTACAGCTTCTAATTGTTAGATGCATAAAAAGGTAATTATTAGATTAATTATTATTATATCAAAATGTGAAACAGGAGAATTGAAATGATGTACAGAATATTCGATTAAGGTACGGTCAACGTGATACTACAAATGTTCAAAACATTCTTTATGATTGGTCAATTAGTAAAATTCTTTTTTCTGATTGATCAATTAAGTGCTTTGATCGTGCCCATAGAATATTCAATACGTTTAGAATATGCTCCAGTTACTGATACACGTTGCTAGAATATCACGATATATCTTTCATCAAAATCTGATTTATTTTTTTAGATAAAGAGTTATTTTTTCACTGCTCTTTTTTATTATAACTACATATATAAGACTGTGGGAATTAAAACTTAGATTTTATATACTATTCATAATTTTCAAGCGTTTGTATCATTTTGAATGTTAAGTATTTATATCACATATTTGATATTACACTTTGTCATTCATACATTTGAGGAGTGTCACGATCGTTATCATCAAATATCCAGAAGAGGAGGGCTATAAACGTGGTATTCAAACAATGTAATATATTGAAATGTAAGAATACTCTGTAGTGCATTTTTTTATTTGGTGCCAAAGTACACGTATGTTGCTCTCATTTAACACTCGACAAAACTGTCGATATATTTAATACTAGATTGAGGAACCTTGGCATTGTCTTCAAGCCAATTAAACAATCCAGGTTACTCGATATTACAAATACATTACGCTTGATACATTATATAAATGATTATATATATATATATATATATTTCTTGTTATACGTAATAAATCCTTCTTTGTGAAGCAATTTCATAGCTGTGATAAATATTGGCACAATAGTTTAACCGCGATTTAAATGATCTTAATTCTTTGAAACTATAAATCATTTCAAAGGACATATCTCAAATAAATGCAAAATATATTGAATACGAGACCTCATCTTTACGTAACAACTTGAACCCCATTGATTACGTATAACAAGAAATCTGTATTATGTATATATTCTTCCCGTCATTTACGAGCGCTCAAATGTGTACAAATGTAGTTATAACGATAATATGAACTTATCTTTTAATTTTTATTTATGCGATGCATCCGTGAAAGAAGTGGCAATGTCAAGATTGAACTTTTTGCATCTAGAGAAAGACATTGCGCTCGTGAATAAGCGGAGAAGAAATACATTTTGTTTGTAGATCATGTGAGAAGTGTCACGTACAATATGTTAGAAATTATACGTTTGCATCGTAGGAAAATAGATACTAAATGTGTTGTTCCTACATTTGAAAAAGACGATCATTGTTCAAGTTTCCGACGCAATGTTTATCGTGCTGTCAATAATAACGATACTACGAATTACATTAAAGCCTGTGTAAAACAAATATTTATAGCAATAATATTTGTTGTGCGTGTCAATTGTAAAAGAAGATACATGAAGATTACAACTCGCTGTTTTAAAGTATATACATAATTAATAGCGCATCACGTAAATATGCGTTATAATATTATTGATTGTTAAGTTGTACCATCTTTTCAAATCATTACGATTTCCATATCTTCCTTTTCATATATTTTTATAATTAAGTCATGACAGCATTTGTTTTATGAATTTCTCATAACAAATTGTAATAGATTTACACATATATTGTATAAGGAATAATCGAATATAGTTTCTGCGATTTTATTACATAATAATAAAGAAAGCCGCATGTATCCACAAGTGGTCAAATTTATTATTTATTAAATTTTAATTAAATAAGTCTTTTGTTTTCTGTCTTTCTTGACTTTATGCAATGCGTTCAACATAAAAACTTATTTTTTGTAATTATATAGGGTGTCCCATTTCAATGTCTCACCTCAAATAACTTTTTTATTTTTGATCTTAGAAAAAAATGTTTTAGACAAAAGTTGTATGGCTTTGAGGGGAACATAAGGTGATATGTCATTAGTTTGACCTTGAATGGTTGCTTGAAGGTCACGTGAAGGTTATCTTCAATTTCTTAAATGGAAACCTTTATTTTTCATTGGATATTCTTGTAGCTTACCTCGAGAGCTTTCCAAAACACTATAATAAAATATTTTTTCATCAAGTACTTTTTTAGTTATGATGCTCAAAAGTTACAGTACCTCCGGCATTTAGCAATATCCAAGGTGTTCGACCGACGGCTAAAACCTCTTGAATGCTGTTCAGGATCATATCCTAGATAACATTTGTCAAGATCAAGACCATTGGAGGTTATTCCTCTTATTTTCATTTTTACATTAAAAATTAATTTTTATATAAAAATGAAAATAAGAGGTATAACCTCCATTGGCCTTAATCTTGACAAACGTTATCCAGAATATGATCTTGAACAACATTCAAGAGGTTTTAGCTGTCGATCGGACACTTTGCATAATGCTGGCAGTTAATTTTATTACAGTGTTTTGAAAAGCTCTTGACATCAACTATTAGATTTTGGCATCAAAAATAGGGTGTTCCATTAAAAAAAATCAATTTGACCTTGACCTGACTTTGGCGACGCCACCCATGATCAAATTGATCAGTAAATAGATCTTTTTGAACCCTACAATTTTTGTATTTAACGTTTTTCTCAATAACACTTTCCTAAGGAGTTATTTGGCCGTCCCGGAACGCTCCGTGTATATATATATATATATATATATATATATATTTAAAGAGATATTCGTTTTACTGTGAGAATAAATGTCCGTATTTCCATCGGTTTCAAGAGAACATTGATTACATTGTCATGAACTCCCACAGTTTGTCTGCTTTCTTCTTCATTCTGGATAATATCATTCATCTCTGGTTCCCATTTCATAGGTTTATTTTCGCTCAATAACTGATTAGCTCCTAATGTGGTTTCTTTGATCGATTCAATTGAAAATGTCGAGAACAGATTCTGTTGAGATAAGTTAAAAGGATTGTAAAAAAATTTTTCTTTTATTGTTAAAGCAGCTTCTAATTAATAATTTTGATTAATTATCACAATCAAATTTTTGTAACATATGTTGTTAGTAATTTCAAAATATATATATACAAATTAAAGACTTATTTTTAGAAGAATTATTTTTAGAAAAATTTACCTGAATGTTAACTTCTACTGGTTGAGACATTCGCTGAGCCTCACCGACTTCAAAGAGGTGTTCCAATCTTAATAAAATTGTATCATCTTTCCAAGGTTCTAAGGTAAGAATGTGCACATTCGATGGCAATGCTTTATTGAGACCGGAAGTCTGTAATAATATATAAACGTTTATTAATGAAAACATGCCGAAATCACATTTTCTTACAAAATAATTAACAACCGATATAACAAATTTTAGTAGATTATTTTAACCTCTTCAGACCTGATTTTATTGGAATTATGTTAAAAATTTTTTTTTAATTCAATTCATGCATGATTTAATAAGTAACTTTTAACAATTTTTTTTAATTTTGATGACTTTTCCGTATATATTATTATGTATTGTGCTCGCGTGCAACGGCACAACTTCGTCGCGCTTTCAGTAAATGAAATCCTCGAAAACTCTTACCTCACGAGATCTGCAAGTATCTATTAGCTCGTTTTACTATTTTTAAATAGAGATTAAAAATTATACGTACTAAATTTTTGAGTACAGCACATATGTTTTCGATATCGCTCAAATTAACTGGAGCACCTAAGATCCACGGATGCAGAGCCAACTTAAGCGCCAATTCCTTTTCCTTCAATACGAATGTATCCGTGTTCTTGACTTTACCTCCAAAGAGATAGTGCGTACCTCTCACTACCAAACCTTCGCCAAAAGCAGTTTCATTCAATGCTTCATCTACACCAAACGCATCGTCTTTTAAAAGTCTTCGATGAAGCTAAAAGCAATTTTAATTATTATATGCATTAGTTATGTAACATTGTTATTTGACTTTATGTTATATATATATATATATCTTAAAATTTTATATTATATTAAAATATGTACACATGAAAGATAAATCCACAATAATATTAATAATAATTCATAATGTCTTCTTTATGATAATAAACTTGCATTTCTAATTTGTAAAACTTACGTTGTAAATGCAAAGTAACATTTAAAAATGGAACTTCAGATTTGAAATAAATTTTACGTATTATGAACTTACATTAATCTTGTATAAATATTTTATTATATTAAATAATTATACATACATATCTAGTAATAACTTCAATTTTATTAGAGATAGTAAATAACAATAATTACAAAAATTGATCAATTGAATTTGAACATTTACCATCAATTCAACGTCACCGTCCTCCAAACTGCTTCCCCCCTGAGCACGATCAACAAAGACATTTAATTTCAATTGCTTCTTTTCATCTTTGAGTGTAATTTTACTGGTCACTGGATAATAATTGCCAGATATCGGCTCCATCAATTTCAAGTTCCATGTTGATCGATAATTTCTCACACGCTTTAACATCTCTCTTCCATTGCTATCCGTGTAAAACGTTTTGTCTGTTTGTAGATTGCTGGAATATCTCGTGACTATCTCTTTACCAATCTTATCCCTAAAATAAAGCAATTTATAATCATTATTTAATTAATTTTTTATATTTATTCAAATTCAGATTTTATAATTTTTATTTATTAATAACATTCAGAAAAGTTTTATACTATATACACGAAAAAGATGCTTTTGCCGACATATTTCAATGAGAAATTAAAAATTTAGCTGGACAGATCCGAAAATAATTTTGTTAAACTATTAAAATAATTATTTAAAATATTTAAGTGTTGATAACAATATTGGCAAAAGTTTTAATATTCTAGCAATCAGTTTAAGCCCTATATAATGATTTTGATAGTTCGAACAAAATTATTTTCAGATCTGTAACTAAATTCTTAGATAGGTATTCCAGCAAAACTGTTCTTTCCGCGTAGAAATATATAAAACAAATATATATATATACAATAATAAAAATATAATTAGACTTAATAATATTAAATGCTAATATTAAATACTTATAAATAGAAAATATAATATTTTACCATTAGTATATTACTAAGAATATACGTAGAATTTTATAAAATTAGAAAAAAAGAGAAAGAATTTTAAATTAAATTTTAAAGATTTTTCAGAGTTTCGTATTGCATAGACAAGAATTAAGTATTGCAATAATAGAAGCCAATAGTACTTGACAGGTATTGGTCCAATGAGCCAATCAAATTCAATGTGCTCTTCTTCTGAATAAATTCGAACTACTTGACTAACCCAATCGTTTATTGTATGATGAAGTTCTTGCAAAATAGGACCTATAAAAATAAATTTTATGGAGTATTGCATTTATGATATATCATTAGAAATAAAGTTGGCTCAAAATAAAGTAAGTAAAAAAAAATATTCTGTTGATAATACCTTTATATATTTTATACGACCCGGTGTTTGCAAAATTCCTGGCCGATAATTCTTTAGGTCTGAAGATATACGCACCAGATGATCTATTAATAAAGTTCTTGTTATTACCCTCTGCTCCTATGTAGTAGTGGAAAGATTGTACGACGTTCATGTTTTGCTTATTCCAGTGTACTGTTAAGTCACCGTTGGTATTAACGGATATATTATACAGCTAAAAATTTGTATTCGATTTAATTTGATTTAATAATTCGATTGTTATTTTCGAGATTATTCGATGCTTGCTTTATCTCTCTAAATAATATTTTAATGGTGTGTGTGTGTGTGTATATATATATATATACATTATATATATATACATATATATATACATACATTATATTTTAATGTGATTTATATTATACATTTGTGTGGATCTATTTACCTCATTACTTATGAAGTTGGCTGACTGAGGTTGTTCAATTACATTTTCTTGTATCTTTTTGGCGATGGCATAAGCTAGTATACCGAGAGGAGGAATATCTAAAGCGCGGAAAACGACTTCGTTTGTCGCGTTGCTCTTTCTTCCTGGGATTTTCTGAACTCCTTCGGGAATCGGTACTATCTGTACGGTTGGATATACTCCTGTTTAATCAAAACTCTATGTTATGTATAGCAAAAGTTTATTAAAATTATTTTAAACCATAACCATATTAATACCATATAAAATTTACTTTAACCACATAAATTTAATTATTGTAAAAATAGCAGAGAGATTACATATTACTTGATATATCTATTTCATATGGAAAATATTGCATACATTCTATAATTATGATATAAAAATACTTGTAATTTTTAAATATACAGGGTGGTCCACTATCGGTTTTTTGATATCACTATCTTAATACTTTTATATACAGAATAATTGGAAGAACTATATTGTGTAAAAAAAAATCATACAATTCCATTTAAAAAAGTGGAGTTGACGTTCATATCTTTTTGACGTCTCCACCTAGAAAAAAAAACAACATGACCAAAATACATTCCCCTCGAAATCGTTCCACTTTCAAAACACTTTTAAAACATTTTTTATTCAAAAATAAGTGAGATATTTCAGATGGTCGATTTCAGTGGACCACCCTGCATATTCATATTCCTATTTTGGAAATTCTGTTCCCTCTTCCTAATTATATTCTTTTAATTTTGGACTATCTCTAACGTAATGTTTTTAAATCTTTGGACGGTAAGTAGGATAAGTTGACAGAAATCATATTCTTTTAATTGATGGAGGAGGAATCAGAACTGCCTATCTGTTTCTTGTCGCATTAAAGAGGACTCAAACTAGGAATTGAAACGTCTGAGTGTTAAAGTTTATATTATCCATATTTTTACGATTATTATGAAATATGTTTATAGTATTAATTTCGGCACTGTTAACTGCTGCAGCTATTATTAATCTTATTTGATTGGTTTGATATTTATATTTATATTAGTTTATTTCACGTTCTAATATTTTAGATTGAATGTACGTATATACATACCATCAGTGAGTGATTGAACAACATAAGAATTTCCTTGAACGGGGACGCGAATGTAAGTAGAAACAGGCCTACTTAGAGGGTTGTATACTACAGCCATAAACGTATCGCTTTTTTCGGAAAATGCACACGAGCTAATATTTAATTGCATACATGTGAATATCTTAAAGGATGCTGCTGTACTATTTTCCATTCCGGACCATTTCCTGTTTCATAAACATTGACAAAAAATTGGCTTTTTAAATTTTATAAAATAACAGTAGATTTGTAATGTTTGTATATACAAGATGTCTGGTAAGTTTTGACAAAAGGCTCGTGTGTAGATAGAACGAACTAAACTGAGTCGAAAAGTCCTCTACCATTTTGCAATTTTCACAATAGTTAACAAGATATTAATTATTAAAAATCGCTGATAATTACTAAAATCGACGCATAAGCTGCATAAGACATCTTTAATATATTTTTCAGAATTCTTTATAAAATATCTTAAAGATGTTTCTTAAAGAACTCTTAAAAGTATATTAAAGTTGTCTCATGCGTCAATTTTAGACATTCTACTCAATGGATTGGTAGAGAATATTTACCCTATAGCTTTCGAAATTATTTCTCCAGCGTGATTCACACTCTCATATAATATACGAGAATAATCGTTCGCGACTAATTGTTTTTCGGTACCGGTGACGGCATCATGATGTTGCATCACTCCCATTGCTTCGCGAAAATGTTCCAAGGGCTCGTCATAATTTTTTAAATTTGTTAGGGCAATAAGTTGTTTGCTTGCCTAAAAACAAGCAGTTTGTTATTTTGAAAATGTCGCTTATTTTAATTTGATAGATCAAAATTTTAATTATCTTTGATCATCTTACTTGCAACATATTATTCCCTTCACGCTCAAAGTATTTCACGGTTGGTCTCGATGAGAAATAGCCAGTCCAGTAAGAGTGAGGATCGCTCGCATATGGAAAGAAGTCATCGCTCTTAGTGGACCACTGAAGATTCAAATCGTTCAAGGCCTTCAAGTAGCATAAGGGTGTCGAATAAATTACATTTACTGCAGAACCATTGCGCTGATTAGTGTATCTAAAAAGATTATAAAAAACTTTTATAGTATCAAATTACATAAAATATGTTAATATTTTCGAATTATTTTATTAAGATTCGATAATAATTGAAATTCGAATTGTTTTGAGAATTATCAAAGATATATCATTTGGTTTCCAGTTATAATTATTTTTTATATTATAGACATAAAAATTTAATAGAGGCAAACAACACGAAAAAAAACTTTTAAATTAAAATATTGACATAAAGTCTGCAAAATTCTCTAACTTAAGTTACATAATGTGATATAAACTCATCTGTGTTCTGACTTTAATATTAATACCTAATAACATTTCTTTAATCTCTTTATTATTAAAATCTGATATACTTTGAAACCGTCTTCCCTAGGTTTACCTTAAGCTCTTTATGAGGAATGTATCTTCATTAAATCATATTTACATGCTCTTGTTCACAATGACCAGTTAAACTAATCTGACTATTACTTAACTAACGAACTAATTAATTATAGCAAATATTACAGCAAATATAAAAACAAATATTAAAATAAATATTGAAACAAATATCAAAGCAAATAACAAACCAAAATATTAAAGTAAATATCCTTTTTAGGGGAGTCTCTCCAATGACCTTGTCCTTGACATATGTTGTCAAGATTATAATCCTTAGTAACTTCCAATAGGTTTTAGCCGTAGCTCGTTACTTGTTAAAAAAGTTATTAAAAAGGAAAGTTTGAAAAATAATGTCTTTTTTCACTATATAGAACAAAAATTACCTGCTTTAAAATATATTGTATTTTACGACTTCCATACGAAGCGACTCTCACCCTACCTCCCCCTCCTATCTCCCCCCTCCCCTACTCTCTCCCTCCCTGCTTAGGGGCGCACGACTTCCACGCAAAGTGACTCTCATCCTACCTAGTAATTATCAAACCAAGTAAAATACCATAATTTATTGAAACAATAATTAAATTTCGGTTGAAATCGAGAACCGAAAGTTCGGTTGTATGTCAATTTTAGCCAAAGAATATAAGTACTTCTTCTTCATAAATATCATAATTTAATTATTGAAACAACAATTACACATATTAAAATTAATATTTATGAAAAAGAGCTGGTATGGTTTCAGTCGAAACTGACACGTAATGAGTGTCCGTTTTCAGTTTCGATAAAAGCTTCGGTCGGACTCTAGTATTAAATAATTGCAAAAGTTAAATTTTACAGAAATATTTCTTTGAATTAATAGCGACTTACTTGATCAGCTTGTCTAAGTTACCAAATACCATGTCAGCCTGTTGATAATGGAAATCATCCCCCATGGTGATAATAATGTGGTTAGTTTTGTAAGTACGTGCTTGAATCTGTGCATATGTCAGGAACAGCTCCACCTGCCAATCGCACATAATTTTTACTTACCGTGGCACGAAGACGGGATTTCATCGTTCGCGAAAAACCACTTCTGCCTTACTAGTGATGTCCTTTGCGAAGCAACATTGCTTTCTTTTTTACTAGATCGTAAGCGTCGAATATATTTAGAGAAGTGTGAATTGTAAAATTTAAGCATTTGGCGTTAATACCTTATCAGCTTATCCAAATTCATGAAGTACATTTCCGCGTGCTGATAAGTGAAATCTCCTCCCATCGTCAATATGATATGTTTTGTACGATAATAATTAGCTTGCGTAACTGCATATCTCAAAAAATCATCGATCTAGTACAGAAATACATCGTGTAAATTATGATTTTCACATAAAACAAATTTGAAAAGAAAATTTTTTTCCTTACATTCCTTTTAATAAAAAACGGATATTTTATTTACGAAATAAATGCAATAATTACGAATAATTTTAATTTGAATAGTTTTATGTTTTAATTATAAAAAATATATGTATTTTAAACACATTATTTTTTATTAACAAGAAAATCTCATCAAATTAAAATTTTTGATTTTTAACTAAACTTTTACACAGATGTTTCAGTTGGAAATTTATATATCTAATCAATCGCTATCAAAAATATTTTCAGAACCGATATCACTAGTCTCAGGCACAGAAAAGGATTTTTTCTTATAAATAAATATAAAGCCTTTCCATCGTTTAAGTTTTATCATTAAAATCAAAATTTTCAAGCGGTAAAGGTTCTCTATTAAATATTTATATTGCTTTTGATAATTATATTTTTTCTATTAAAATTGTATTTTGTTAATATCTAGCAATTATAAATAAATTGGTACAAAGCATCGCATAAGCCTTGGTTGCTAATTAACGCTTGAGACGACCTCGTTAGTTTATCGTTAGAAAGTAATGTCAATAATTATCATTCTGCTATGTTATAGTCTACGTATATGTATTACGTTACATACCCTTCTGTCGATGTTATAGTCTGGGCTATCAGGGTCATCGATCATTGGTTCATCGTTGCATAAAACATCGAAGCAAAATCCTGGTGGTGGACTGTAAGTGTTGAACATTGCAGTCGTGAACAAATTCGCTCGCTTACCTGGAAATAAAATTGAATATTGTATAAGTTTATTCATTATATAATATATGCTTATTTTGTTTGCAAGAAGAACCTATTTTTACAGGGTGTCTCATCACGAAAAGGTGTTAAAACTAATCAGCTGTTATTTTCGAATATATTATTGAAAAAACAAAAATTGAAGAAAGGAATGTCTACAATTTTTAATGGATATAAATAAAATTTAATAAAATGTTTATATATAAACTTATTGTATTGATTAAAAATTTTTAATAATTCTAATAATTAATATTTTCAAAGTACAACTATTTATACAAAACTAATCCTTTTTTACAAAAACGCGTAAAAACTTTTTCTAACATGTCATTTTTAATATTGCTGACAATTTTTTAAATATTGGTACTAAATCTAGTACTTTTGGCATTGACGATTTTGAAAAATGATTATTAACTTACTAGATTATTAGCATATTTTTCATCCATAAAATAAACTTATATACAAACATTATACACAAACATTTTATTAAATTTTATTTGTACCCATTAAAAATTATAGATTTTCCTCTTTTCAATGCAAAAAAAATTTTTCTTTCTTTTATAATTATTATTGTTCACCATTATCAAAGATACTTTCTTACCTAAATTTGGACTGCTTTTCCAGATAAATTCCATCGTTTTATTATTCAATCTTTCCTCTTTATCTTGATAATCGATACGACCAAATAGCATTCCATCAAATCCCATCTGTGCGAATAAAGAAGCTTGTTCTCTGGAATGACCGAAAGGATCTATTTGCCACCCAATACGCGGTCTGGCACAGCTTCCAAATGTGTCGTTGAGTCGCCTATACAGATCAAGAATCAGCAACATATAAATTAAACTGATTGTAAATAAAAAACGCCTCAAGTTTTTCCTATTTTATCCTCGCTTATTACGAATTAGTTGAATAATAAATTTATCGCAATCTATTACAAGATTAAAGATTAGAACTTTTTTCACTTGTGTGTGCGCTAGTTAAATGCATAGATTAATTGAGTCTTGATCGTTTTTTCTTGTTCTTCACGTATCTTGATATTACACATGTGTAAAGGCAATATTGAAATTTCATCTAATTACAAATGTAAAGTTAATATATTAGAATTTTCGATTGTATATGTACAATGTAGATGTCAATTGTGAATTGTTTGAATCTAGCATATTTTACCTTTAGATTAACGAGTGTAAATTTAGAGAAAAACGAGTACCTTGCTAATTGAGTGTCATTTTTTTATATAAGCCAATGGATAACTTATTCGACGCGACAGTTTCCAAATCCTATTGTGAAAATATGATTTTGTTATAGCCACTTAAATTATTTATATTTACATATACAAGTGTGCATATAAATATATTTGTATATATTTTTAAATTCTTTGAGTTTATTTCAAACAATTATGTATGTTAATTCATAAAGAATTGCTTAAGAAGTTGAACTTTTTTTGAGTTTAAATGCGGATCAATTGTGCGCTATCTGGATTATATCTTGTGTTTCATATATGTCAATAGAATCATTAGATATGTAATAAACGAGTAAGAAAAGTATATATAATATATTGTAAATTATCAATTTCAATTATACTCATTGTCAGTTTCAAGGGTCTCACTGACGTGCTTATACATATATACAAGGTGTTCCATTTTAATTTCTCAGGCAAATATCTCGAAAAATATGGAAAATATAGAAAAATGTAAATTTTAGACAAAAGTTGCATAGTTTAGAGGGGGTCACATTTTGGTCATGTTGTCTTTCTTCTAGATGGAGGAGTCAAAAAGATATAAAGGTCATCTCCACTTTTTTAAATGGAATTTATAATTTTTTTTACACAATATAATTCCTTTAATTATTCTGCATATAAAAGTATCAAGGTAATGATACTAAAAAACCAATAGTATGTGAGATATTTTATACTTTATTCCGGTACATATTGACATAAAATACTCAATAACTCATAAACTATTAATCTCATTATTCTATTCATAAAAGTATTAAGGTACGATTATCAAAAAATTAATAGTTTACGAGTTATTTAATATTTTATTTTATGTCAATGTATGCCAAAATAAAGTATAAAATATCTCATAAACTATTGGTTTTTTGATCACTACGTTAATACTTTTATATGCAGAATAACTAAAGAAATCATATTGTGTAAAAAAATTTTACGATTCCATTTTAAAAAGTGGAGGTGACCTTCATATCTTTTTGGCGCCTCCACCTAGAAAAAAAAACAACATGACCAAAATACGTCCCCCTCTAAACTATACAATTTTTGTCTGAAACATTTTTTTATATCTTCCATATTTTTCGAGATATTTACCTGGGGAAGTTAAAATGGAACACTCTGTATATATGAGAGAGAACAAATACCTATATATTTATACCTGAATCCCCATGTAAACTGATCCACTAATGAATGATAGTGAGTACAAGCTTCGTCGTTCATGCTCCATGCTCCTCCAATGATTTCCAATCGCCCTTCGTTGATTAACATCTTGACGTCAGCACGTACGTTTTCATCTTGCCGTAACCACCATTTCCAGAAGAAAGCGGTTTCCACGTAAATAAATCTGCAGAAATAATTGAGTAATGTAAAATTTATATTATAATATATGTTAAATAATATAAAATTTGTCAAATGAAATTTTTTTTATAAAGAAAATTGAAAATATCGTAAGCTTTTGAAACGTCAAACTTATCATAAAAATAATAGGTGTAATAACGTTAAAATATAATGGTCTGTATTTAGAACGCGCTTACAACGATGTTAGTGTACTAACATACTATACTTTATGTTACGCATATAATAGAATTTCAAAGATAAAAGCGCATTCTGAATACGGGCCATATTTTATATATCTACTTATCTGATAATGGAATGATGTTTTTTACATATATATGTTGATTTTACGAATCTTTATCGCATCGATTGTGTATTATTTCAGATTGAATTACCTTCTGCTTGGGTTAGCTAACAGTGCTTTGATAACACTGTCGAGAATATACTGCACACCAGCCTTTTGGATTGTAGAGCGACCTTGGTGAATACAAAATTTTTATTAAAAGGTAAAAATGAAATCTATTAATGTTGAAATCTAATAATAAAATATTAAATAATAAAAAATAAGAAATCTCTAATCTTTCTTAATAAAAAAATATTACATCTATTATATTATACATATAGTGATACATGTAATATCGTTCCAGGAATCTTCTAAAATGTTTCTGAGCTTGTAAGGAGCTTTTAAGCTTTCATATCACATATGTACACACACATATAAGAAAGTATATAAGAAAGTAATAATGATCATAACCAAAACAATCTTCATGCGTGCAATTATATCAATTAAAATATTATAATTGTGTTTACATTGCATTATTTTCTTATACACTTTAATTTTATTATATCTCTTCTCTTTCTCAAAAGTATAATAAAGATATTTTCTCTCTGTCATATTTTTATTATAAGTTTTATACATTCTTTTGTAATTATATAGTTTTATCATTTACTTACTTCCAAAGTAATATTGATCGACAGTCTTTAACCAACCGACATCGTCATGAGTATGTGAAACCATGTGAATGTTAAGTTTGTTAGGATGTGTGGCATGACACGCCTGAAATTGATAAAGTATATGCCAGATATGTTCTATTTTTTGTAATTATAAGATTTTATAATACATATCAGATGAATTAAATTAATGGTACGTAAATACATACATAGTACGCATCCACCTCCGATTTTCCTGTAATTTTATAAATTTGTGTATTTCTACTCGTAGAATATATTTTGAGAAAGAAAATCATCGCTTGAGTCCCGTTTTTTTTTTAAATTAAATTTCGAAGTTTTTTGATGTCGGTAATTAGGAAAATGGTAATTATAAAAAATAAATAATAATTATAAATGATGTTTTTTATAATTTTAAAGAAATGTTAGATTTAAACTCCAACCCACATAAAGAGAATTACAAAGGTAAAAAATTTTAATCACTATTCTCTGTTATACTTCAAATTATATAATAAAAACTAATTTTTGTTTTTAATTAATTAAAGCAGAGAATCTTTTTTATTTTAAAAAGAATAAAAAAGAATACAAATTTTAAATCACAATTATTTTCTGCTATAATTTAAATATATAATTTAAATATAAAAAAATTATATTAGAACTAATTTTTTATTAAATTATTAATTAATTAAAACAAATAATGTATATTTTATTTTTAGGAATTTATTAATGTTAGAGCATATAATGCACCAATTATCTTTAAACTTTAAAAATAAAAAAACGGAGCTTGAGTGATTTTCCTTCTCAGAATCTACGCATGGAAATATACAAATTTACAAATTACAGGAAAATTGGAGGTGGATACTGCATAATTATCAAATTAATAATTTAATAAAAACGCAATTTTTACGTAGCAGACATACGAATTCGAAATTGACACTGATCTTTGAAAGCGGAATTGCAATGTTGTATCCTTCCTAATTACTTCAATTAGCAATTAAATTACGTACCTCATAGCCACATTTCTTGGTAGCAGCTGCATCTGGTGTAGTTCGTGGTATTCGTGCTGTATCGCCAGAGGCAAAAAACTGTGCGAACGCAAGTAACAGAAGAAGAAACTGAAAATTGTATCGCAACATAGTGAAGATGGTTGCTTCTTCCTACACGCCAATGTAACTAATGAGATAATGAAGCTGCCATCCTATACTTATATCGTTGACGGACCTCACCGTGATAGCTTGCCACAGATAAAAGACGATAAAAGCAGCAATGCGTTCGATTTGAACATTTATACTGTAAGCTTTATTTTATCTTTACCCGGTAAAAAATATTTCATATATAATTAATTTTTGATGTGAGATATGGGAAATTGAGATCAAACGCAGTTAAATTTAGCGTATATCTATTTCTGTATAATAATACCAAATATACAGGGTTTGTCCGAAAAATAATGTCAATGACTTTATTGTGAAGCGACTATAAATCCCAGCGCGATCGGATCGGTTGGAATCGGTGGAGGGGGAAGTCAGCTTACGAACGCGCGGTCGCTCAGTCGTTTTTGATCATTTGGTAAGTAAAGACAAGCTTTTCCATCAAACGCGTTTTCGTCTCCTGTGCAAGCCGTATAATGCAGAATTAAACAGAAAATTCCGCACTGACTAATATTTTCGGATAATTAACTTTGCACATGAGACAGGAATACTATGAACATACTAGGAATACTAGGAACATACTTGAATACTATGTATCATCGACGAATAGACAGCATTTTCAATCATTTCTATTTTTTTTTATAACCAAAGTATGTTACTCGTTTAAAATTTGTTTTTATATTTATATTTATTACATTGATAATGACCCGATCGGTGTCGAAACATATGTTTGTATTTTTCGTTGAATATTAAAGTTTAAATTTTTGGCTTGTAGCCCTTCGATTTTATTATTATTGATTCAAAATATATGTCCCCCTCGATAACACATATTATCGTAAAAATAGGATTCGATATCTTGTTTCGGAAAAATTCAAGTGCATTGATTAAAATGAGACACTTTGTACATATCAGATAACAATATACATATATTTTATTTATGAAATTTTTTTCTTCGCACAAAGGCAAGCAAAATTAATTTTTATCTCACACGATAATAAGATTAGAAACAATTTTCATCTTACATTATTCATCTTATCTTATGTTATTATAAAGAATCATTTTTAGAGATTTCAATTTTATATTAAATAATAATTTATTGTAAGAAATTTTATTATATTACTTCATACTTTTGAATGACGGTATACAAATTTATAATATTAAACTTAAAGTAATCGTGATTTGATGAAGTGAATTGCATTATTAAAAGAGATTAATTAATTTTGAAATATGTATCTCGCAATCGCATCTAATCGCAATTCGTCTCTGTACACAAATTTAATTATTGTTACAAAATGCTTATTATTTCTAAATAAATCAAATTCTGTAAACATATAAAATAAGTCTATAAAGTTCAAAGTGATTGAAATAAGGTATGAATTAAAATGGTACATCACACAAATTATGATAAAAATTAGGAAAACAACATATTTATTTGCATTGTATATAACAAAGTAAAATGCAATAACACCGTCAAAGCATGAACAACGTTAAATATCTTAATAAGGGATAGAAGAGGTAGAGGTACACCAAAGCAAACGTCAAACATGTCGCGTATACAGCGCAATCATATCGCGATATGTTTATTCATGGTGAAATTATTTTAATGATTCGTAGACCATTGCTTTAAATCATGGTGCTAGTAAAAATTAACGCAACAGTGCTGAAAATATATTCCATTAATTCTCGTCGATGCCTCAGAGGAATTAGATTTACGATTGATCTTTCAGTACCTCTAGAAACAAAATTCGTTTAATTTAATATATACAATTTAGTTTAAAATTAAATTAGAAATATTAAATTCTTTTTTAAATTATCTCCTTTTTAAATTATTAATAATATCTAAATATAGCGCTAAAGTATAAATAATATGTAAAAGAATAAATTCCATAGGTTAGAATAAAATCGTCTTTAAACGACAAGTTTTTTTATATTACCAATTTAGTAATAAAACCTATAATATGGTATGAGCTAGATGTTTAGTACTTAAATAATATTTCTACATTGAAAAAAAAATTGGCTGCAGCAGCCAATTTTTGGTTGCAACAACTAATTTTTGGTTGCGTTAGCCTATCCGCAATGTCAGTATATGCAGCAATGACAAAATAATTAATTTCTTTTCATGATAAAAAGTAAACTTATTATAAAACACTTACCGATATGTAAAAGGGTTATAAATTTTATTATAGTATATGCCTAAAAATCAGAATACATGATCTCTTGCGGTTTCTCGAATTTAATAGGTCGATAGAACGTGAATGATTGATTCCATCCACGAGGCGCTGTATTGTAATTTGTCAAATTGTGAAGATTGGCTAATTTCGATCCAGTATAATTGTTATTCTCGTACAATTTGTTTCCTGGAAATTAAAACTTTAAATATAAATCTACGAATATATAAATATCATGAAAAGATAATGAAAGATTACTTATTGAAATATAACTTTAATAAATTTAACTTTTATACATCAAGGACTGCACAAATGTATCTTATATCAATTATCGTGTTTTTATTGTTACAAATAAATACAAGTAATGTTTAAAAAACTGTAAAAAATAGTAAAATTATAACAATTTAAATTAAATATATTTTAAGACACTTTAATTAACTTTATTTAAGATTATGATAAAACGAATAAAGTTTTCATTAAAAGACCATATTTTAAACAAAAAGTTAAAAAAGGAAATATATTTCTTATACGAACAATTATAAAAAAATTGAAAAAAATTTATTTTTGTACCTTTATGATTTTTTATTTTTATATGGTATACAAGAAAATTTTATGTGTTGTATATAATTCAATAGTGTAATTAATTTTTATATTAATTCGTTTGTTATTTAGCGCTACGTAAGGATTAGGAACAATGTGCAGTAAAAATCGTTTTGTATGTTTAGTATATGAAAGCAATAATATCAGAACTATAAAAGCGCATGCATATTAACTTGCCTAATTCTGAGTTAACGTCAATGAGTTTGCATTCTGGCGTAGTGGTGCCTAAAAGATTATCCAAGACTGGCGTGTTACGCAAATGTTTTTTAGTTTCGAGTATATTCTCCTGCGAGGCGACCATCGAGAGCATTAATGATTTTGCTTCGGGAGGCATTTCAGTCTCGGTATTGATGAATCTCGTAGCCGTGTCGTTGGCATAAAGGGCTTCCAACTCCTGTGAGGTAGTCGAATGACGTCGAGTACCCATGTACTCGTCCTCGAATGCGACTGAGTATTCGCTGCTGTCGCAGCAGTTCAATAAAGCAGACGGTGCTGAATTGCCACGATCTATGGATCCCAAGTTCTGATAATCTTCGGAGTCGGTGTCATCCGTCGTATATTCACTCTCGTCAGTGGAGACGTAGCCGTTACATCGGGATTGTAGTTTCGTTGATCCTTCATAGCTTTCGCGTGCTTTGCATAATTGACTATTGTATTGAGATTGCAGCTTTCTTTCGTAGCTTCCACGTGTGTCATACATTCGGTTATTGCATTGGGACTGCAATGTCGCATATCCTTCGTAGTTTCCGTGTGCACTATATAATTGATCAAAATGGATTCTCAATTTTATTTCGTTTAACTATACTCTCCACTATTTAAAGAGAGATACTATATGCATGTGACTGCAATTGGCAGCAAATGTATATATGTATAAGCGGAAGATAAATTGTAGACTTCGTAGAACCTCATTGAACTATGCACTATTATGAATGACAATATTATAAATAGCATCTTGGACTTATCATTTGCAATTAAAATAGCAGATTGAAATATGCATCATTAAAAAATACGTATAACGCGTCATCAAATACGAAATATATAGCGCGTTATAAAATCAAGTAAACTTAAATTTTTTTCACGTTTACGTCAATAATTATATAAATATTAATTTGAATAATTTATGAATCGAAGAAACAGAACGTTATCTTTAAGAAACAAAATGTTTAAAATAAAATATTGGCAAACTTGTTTGTTATATTATTTATATTAAAAAAAATCCACAAATTCTCACCGTACATATCTCTCCTCCTCGTTGTTACACTTGACAGGATTTTTCGTCTCGAAGAAACGTGCTATGCCATTATCCAACGGGCACTGCTGTACGATTGGAATAATCTTTGGACTGATCTGCTTATATTGCAGAACTGGTCTACAAGTTTTCTCGAATTCTTGTATCAGTTGCTTCACTGGTACAGGAGTGTATCCACTTTCCTCGTTGTCATTCTGCATTTGTCTGTCGTTCTGTTGCTTATTCCCGAGCTTATTGTCAATCATGTTATCTTTGAACTTGTTAGCGAAACGCTGTTGAATCCTTGTATCTTTGCCATTGTAACTTCGCATGTTGCAAACATCAGATTTTCTCGGCGATTGATAATTGTTGTTAATATATGTATTATTGTTACTTGCGACATACTTATTGGCCATGTTAGTGCGTCGATTGTTAGTAGAATCGAAAACGATACGACGGGATTTTTCGACGATGGGTGATCGACAATGATCAGGAAAATCGGAATCTGTGCCCACCGCAATTTCTCGAAGATAAATCTTTTTTATCTCGCTCGAATGGCCACATCGGTTAGCATTACAGTGCTTGTCTGCAACTCGCAAATTAAAATTGATACAGCACAACATAGCAACTGCAAAAAGCTTTGTTATAGGATTTAGCATAAAGTGTCTTCTCCAGAAATTAAAAGAAACATAAATTTGAAAACCTTCAAAAAATAATTAAAAAAATGTATTAAAATAAAATGTAAAAATAATACTTGTATTATAAAAAAATTACAATTAAAATTATTTTATAATAAATACTAAAGATTGAATCTATTATAATTATCTATGGAAAACAAAACTTATTATATATACATATGTGAAAACAATTTATTTTATAATACTGATTTACTTTTTCATATAAAACTGTTCTCCTCTTGATTATCATGTATTTTGATTGATATTATATAAATATATTCTATTATTTTTATAAAGAGATAAATGAGATTTCAAATTTTTTAAAATTTATTTTTATAATTTATTATATGTCTGTTCTGATGC